ATGCTCACCTCTACAAAAGTCACATATTAGAATTTGGATATGACTCACATTAGGTTGGGTTAATTGAGAAGTAGCCAACTATTTGGTGAAAGCTTACAGTTAGGCTAGTAAAGTAGTTTATTTGTCAAAAACTAACACACCTTTTCCCTTCACAGCTCGCTCACTCGAGTGATACTCATTTTGACACATATTTTCAATTAGTGTATTGACTTCTTCACCAGTCTTTGCTCTCAATGTACCTGTAGCTGAGGCATCAAGAAAAATTTGTGTGGGTGTTATCAACCCACTTATAAAGTGTGTCTTTTGTTCCATTAAACTCATGCTATGGTTTGAGTACTTGCGGAGTAACAACTTAAATCTTTCCCATGCATCTGACAAGGATTCACTCTCCTCCGGGATAAAATTTGAAATTGCATTTTTTCTTTCGAAAAAATGTGCGTTTGAATATTATCTCTCCTAGAACTTATCTTCTAACTCCTTCCAAGTTTGGATTGTCCCATTGGGAACATAGTGCAACAAATACTTCACTATACGGATTAATGAAAATCTAAACAGACGCAATTTGACCTGGTTATCAGTTACATATGTTGGTTTGAACATGGAACATGTTTCATAAAATTTAGCAAGGTGCTCAAAAGGATCAAAAATGGCTTACCAATCAAATGGGTCATATCGCAAGCCCTGAAACACAAAATTCTTAATGTAAAAAAGTCACTGGATTTGCAGGTTAGAATCCCAAGAATATTTGACTAGCATTTATTGATCTACAATAATCCCCCACGTTTGGCAGGGTGGATTTGTCATTTTAGGTTCCTCTTTTTGTTATTCAGCTGCTACTAAGGCTTCGATCTTTGCTTTACGAATTGCTCGCATGGTTCTCTCTAACTTTTAATCCAACGGTAAAAGCGTCAAACTTGAACATCACATAAACACGGAAAACAATACCTTAATAGCACTGTTCAATACATAATAGAGTAATAATAGAAATCAATATTTTAAAACACCAACTAACCAGAAAAATTAACGATAATATACTAGAAATTAAAATAAACAAACTAAAACAAAACAAGTCGCATACTATACCTTGTTGAAAATATCAATAATCTCCAGCAATGGCGCCAAAAACTTGATGGACAATTTACTAGCAAGTGTACTAGCATTTTTATTGAAGTAATAAAAGTAATTTCGTCTCCACAAGGATTACAAATTTACAACAAGATATGTTGTGTGATGTAAGTGAAAATAGTAAACAGGGGGTTCTCAGGTTGTTTGGTCAAAAACACAAGAGATAAGATTTCATAACAATGACGATAAAGACGACCAAGTCTTATTATCAGAATCCCCTATTTCTACTTGATTGATGAAACACATGTTAATAGACATGCAATGACTATAGAGTTACACGACATATTAATTCTACCACTACACCCAATTCCTTAGTGTGCAGCTCAATAGCCTAAGTGTCAATTCCCCGATCCCTCAGGCCAATTGTACCGTCAAATTAGGAAACAAAATGCGTTAGTCCCTAAGTCACAATTCCTAATTATAATATCCCTAGTCAATCATTGAATTCAATAGTTAAAGTAGGTCAGATAAATAGCCCTAGGGTCAGTACTCACTACTTATCAAGATGAAATTGAATGTCGTAACAAACAATAGGCAATGAGCATAACTAATAGCTAAATAATAACAAAGAGTCAAGACAATTACATTAAAGTCATCCAGTCATATGTCCCAATCAAATAAAATTTGTTCATAATCAAATAAGACCTAACCTAAGAGGAATCTAGCTATTCATATTGAAAGAAGTCAATACCATAACTGTATACTAGAAGATCATGAAGAATCACCGAAGAAAAAGCTCCCAATGGCCTCCAAAATATCTAAAATCATCCAAATCAGTCACCTTTTCTCTAGGCAATCAACCCCTTTTTCTTCTATTATTTTCCTTTTAAATCCAACAAAAATCATGTAACGAAGCGTAACAACACAGTCGCGCTAAAAGGAAACGCGAGCGCGTTGAGTACTGATGATCAAAACACAGGCGCGTTATGAGGTGGCGCGGGCGCGTGAATTCTAGTAGCTTCAACATATTTTTGTTCCTTCTTTTCACCAATTTTCACACTAAGTCATTTTCTTCACGCTTTGTCACTTTTCCATTCTTTTTCCGTACTTTTGCTTCTAACTTGCTCAATTTTAGTTTGATTTGTCCGATTTTTCATGCTAAATGACGTGCAATGACATCATGTCATCAATTTCTCTGTTCAATAACTCTCCAGCATCCTTGGCGTTGAAGATTTTACGATTTTAGGATCCAACACTCGATCTTAACTATACTATTATTCAATGTATAAAAAAAAGTAAATATTTTCTTATAATAAGTACCACTACAAGTAATACATTTCATGACAAAACTTTCACCTCACCATACTAAAAACCGAGGTCAAAACTCAAGGCGTGCCATGTTTTATGCTATTTTTTTAATAAACACCACATATTCTCTCAGTTACAAAATAAAATCGAGGGGTAAAATATTTCAGGACACGCTTCGAATCCTAGCATCTGCAGTTTATGTTTTTATTTCTTTAAAAGTGGAGTCTTTCTTTTTATTTTATTTTTAACTTCTAAATTAATGATCTATTCCGTCGGTTATATTTAATAACCGAGGGACTAAATTATAATATTTTACTATAGAAACACTCGTTATTTATATTTTACCCTAAAATTAACGTATATGTGCCGCTCCAAAGTCTTACGCATCATTCTTTGGGATGAATTGCAAGACAGAAAAAAATCTCCAATGTTCTTCAATCTTAAACAAAATATTTTTTCTGCCCTTGCAATCTATCTCACAAACTGATGTTGATGTTGTTGTTGTATTTATGTAATAACCTTCCTATGTTGTCGATCAAAGAAAATATTGAGAAACCTATTGCTTTCCTCAGTTGACAACATTGAGAAATTTATTACTAAACAGAATGTAAATATAAAAAAAATTCCCTTGTTTGGAACAAATAACTTATCTACGTTACTCTCCAAGAATCCATTGCAAAACTGTTGATTTGTTTAAGTAATTTATTTTAATATTCTGTGTAAAGAATATACATATAAAGAAAAAAGATTTTCCCCTCGATTTTAAACAGAAACTGAAAGGTATGTGGCTTGAGATGAAACATATTTTATTTTATTTTTATTTAAAAAGAAACACAATTTAACTCGATTTTGAGTGATAACCGAGGTAAAATATAAACGTGTTTTTCAGTTTCTTCACCGTACTTAAAGAAATATTCACCGTCCACTTAATGAGTATGAACGCTCAAGACACTGTCATTAGTGATCCTCGTGAAGCCTAAAATCCTCATTATAAAAGCATTCTGAATATATAAAAAATCCTCATTATAAAAGCAATTTGAATATATAAATTTGATAGTAGTGAATCCACAAGAAACCCAATTAATGTTATTGTGAAACTCTATATGTTTAATTAGAGCGCCATGAGATTTTACAAAGTAAAAGTATCAATATGAGAAGAAAACATTTAGGTTTATTTATTATGTGGTTGGTGAGATTATATTTACTTTGCCAAAGATTTTTGTGGTTGATTGTAAGAGCATAAAATTATCATGAATTCAAGGTTTGTGTTTTTAAATAATCATATAACTAAATATTTATTTTATTTATCTAAATTTTTTAATATCAGAAACAAATGCATGCAAAAGCCATAGAGAATATAATGCATTCAATATTTTATCTTCCTCAAAATCAATGAAACGAGGATCCCTAACATTTGAGAGGTATGAGTCACTATTTTTTATAAATAATTAAAATGTAGATGTTGGGGTTCGAACCCATGATATTATATTTTACCATTCAATTTTTCATTAATCAAAATGTTAAATGACATCTTTTCACATCACCCTTCGTTATGTCGCCTTAATAGTCGATGTTACATCTCTTTATCGTACAATGTTATAAACGTTATTTATAGTAGTAAAAATTCAACGAGAGAATTTATTTTTTTCTTTCTGAAAACTAAGTATTTGGTATAAGGACCGATTAATAAAAAAAAATCAATCTCACCATCTTTAACAGAAGTGCAATTGAAGTCATGGCAATTGTAATTGCTCTATATGACCTGACCTGACTCATAAATTATTTTATATGCAATGTTATTTTATTTATGAATCATAAAAACTCAAGGAGAAAAAAAGTCTAACTCACCATGTTATCAATCAACTTAAACCAAAATCTAGCTACGGCTTTCTCATAGACTTGTTGAAGAAAAATGTGACAATTCCCCCAAGTTTGTTCAATGCATTTATAGATTATAAGTGATTCAGATAATTGGTTTACATTGTGAACAAACACATACAATTAAAATAATAATTTTTCTATCCCATTTAATTCCTTTCATCAATTCAAAGATACCTAAAATACGATATCCAATTAAAATTCCTAAATAATTTTTTTTATAGTGATAGATGAGTTTGATAGCATGTATGATTTTCAGATAGTACACATACGTTTCTGGTTAACTTGACAGATTTATGCAGATGGTGGAGCCACTATCATGTGTTCACATGTTGGTCACAGAAAAGTTTGAAAAGTCATAACATATTCATATAGGAGCTCTATAAAAGTTATGTAAACAGAAAAAATATATTTACAAACAAAATTACAAGAGCATTTGTAGTAGTAAAAAGTGTTTTGAAGAGTATTTTAGCATATATAGATCTCTAATTTTCTCAATTTACAAATCACTTTATGGTTGGAAAGCTGAAGAAATAACCATAAATTACCAAGATAATTGATCAATTTAGAGAGACTAACAACTTTTTAAGACATAAATAAGGTTGCTAATAAAACTCATAACACTCTCAAATAATAACTTCTAAATTAAAATGATTTAGTTTCAACTTCTCTTATCTCTAAGATTAGTCCAAAACTAAATTAAAATGATTTAGCTGCATCTACTAATATTTAGTACTCATCAAATTGATCTATTTTGCAGCACTAATCGCAGCATAACGAGATTTGAAAAACCCTAATAGTCCCTCCTTAGAAGGAAGAATCTCTTTCACAATAGGTTGATTGATGAACTCTTGACTCCATTTATGGAGCTTAGGAAATTTGTCACCACTAAGCAACTTCAACCCTACAGCTTCTTCAATGGCAGGAAGCCAGAAAGCTAAGTAGGAAGCAGCAATGTCCACAATATTAATATTTTCTCCACCAAAGAATTTGCTCTTGAGTTCATTCTCAAGAAACTGTAGAGCCTGCAACGCTTCTTCAGTGCCTTTCTCTCGTTCCTCTTTGTTCACAGTCCATGCTGCCTTTGATATCGCCGGCAAGATCTACATTCATAGAAATGAAATTCATAAAATTAATTCTTACTATATAATATAAATATATTCGAGAGTATTAAATTTCACCGTGTTATACAAAGCAATTGAAGTCGAGCAATTCATTATAAATCATAAAAAAAAACAAAAAAAGCAAATAAATCTAACTGACCTTGTCATCAATGAACTTAGACCAAAATCTAGCTGAGGCTTTTTCATAAGCTTGTTGAGGAAAAATGTGATAATTCTCCCAAGTTTCATCAATGTATTCAATGATCAAAAGTGACTCAGACAATGGTTTTCCATTGTGAACAAAAACAGGCACTTTCTTATGGATAGGGTTATACTTAAGAAGAAGTTCACTTTTGTTTCTTAGATTTTCTTCAATGAAAGTGTACTCAATACCCTTTAGTCTTAGAGCATATTGCACTCTCTGAACAAATGGGCTTCCTCTTACACCCAACAATTGAACTTCAGCCATTGCAAGTGAAGAAATTCTAAGATCTTAAGAAAATGTGGATGTGAATTTTGGTTCAAACTGTTTTTTTTACTCTTTGGGTTGGGATTCTTTATGTTATTAATATAGATGAGTTTGGTAAAGTTTGTGATGGAGAGTTCACCACGTTTTCATGAATGTTAGGTGGTAACTACCAAACTATGAATTAATGTTTTCATGAATGTTTGCAACTACATTTAACTATTTAATACTAAATATATTATTATTCATTTATATGAAATTAAAAACAAATAATTTTGACATCTATAAAAGTCTTGTTTAATTTTAGTCTCAATATTTAACATAAATTATAAGATTCTTAGACTAAAATTAAAAGTCTTATGCAAAAAAATAATTTTTGTGGTTTAATATTGTCCTTTACAGAAATTTCAATTTATAATACTTTTGACATTATTTACTGTCCTATTAATAACTTTCATGATTTGAATGACTTTTAAAAATTAAAATCTACAAATTCTAGGAAAAGTTAAAATTTTAATTGAATTTTTTTATCTGTATCTCAATTTTTTTTGACTTATTTGGTCATTTATTTCTTAAAATCCCTTAAGTGTATCTATTTGAAATTTTGAATCAGTTAGAGCACGTACTTAAACTCACCAATAGATAGAGGTGGCTATAAGGACCAATCTAGACATAATTTTGTAAATGAGCTTTGTGGGTCATATCTTTATTAGATAGAAATTAGGTGCAATTTTAAGTGTAACATTTCTTTTAATGCTCATTCTTGCATCCCACACTTAGAAAATCCGAAAATGTCTTTAATATATTTGGAGATGTATATTCAAATATACTTAAAATTATATTAGAATGCGGTATTATGAGATCCATTCAATTTTGAACAAAATATAGTTTGGAGATGCATCCTTGTACGTTATTTGAGTGTATTTGAAGATATATATCTAAAATATTTCTTAAATGATTTCGAAACAACATTATTGTCTCAACAATGTAATTTTTTGAGGTCAAGTTATATTAAAGTAAAGTCAATTTATATTAAAGTGAAATGAAAGTAAAAATGCATACATTAATCAAAGTAAATCCAAAAAGTCAGGACCATACATAACATTTGTTCGAAAATACAAAAAAAAAAAACATCCAAACATAAATTATTGGGTATGTTTAACCCCTTGCCTTCTCCTCCGCCTGTACTGCACGATATTTCATAACTCGACAATCATGTTCTCCACGAGGGCCAACTGGGGATTGTCATCATCAAAGAATCCTTCCTGCCTTTATGTCTGCTCTACCCATTTCCAAAACATGCTGACAGATCGCCAATACTATTAGATCAAGATTTGTTCATGACATATATTCCTTGGATTTTGATGATAACAAAGTATTAAAAGAACAATGGTTATATTTGATGCGTGTTTCTTGTATGCAGGTTCTAATACTTGTATGCGTATGTGTGTACACACACACACACACACACAATCTGATATACAAATGCACACTTGAGAGAAGCTGAATTGCTAGCTTTTGGTGGTGTAGAATCTGAAGAACACTCTCTAAGTGATGTCTAGCATAAACTCTGAAGCTGAAGGTCACAACATCAGAAAAATCAACATTATTGTTTCTACACTTGGTGAATGTAAATTGACTTCTGGGGATCATTCAGAGTTAGTAATAAAGTTAAAGCTATCCATACTGCAGAAAGCAAGTTGCATTGTCAAATCAGCTTGTTAGTTAGAGTCTTAGTTCACAGGGCTCAAAAAAATTTGACATGCTTTACGAATATCTACTCTCAACGACTCTATAGTACATGATATCTTTGAAGACTCAGTGGTTAAACATGATACATAATGGATCAAGATCTTTTGGTGTATCTATCTTTAACGTCTCTTGTTTATGGAAAAAGCAAAGTCATTTGATCAAGTTATCTCTTCAATGACTAGTCTTCTACAAATTTTATATAAGTAGTTGAAGGTTCAAACTGAATCTTTAACAAGGATTAACTTGATGGAGGAGTAACAAGATCAACAATTATAAACACAAATGGTTATGCATAATTTCTGTTGTAGGATATAATTGTAAAAGCCTTAAGATTTCTTACACATTGAATATCTTAGAAATCTTAAGAGCTTTAGGTCTTTGTTATGGTGATTTCCCCACACCTCTGATATTTGTATCAAGTACACCTTGTTCTCTATTCTGCTGAACATGTTGTTTAGCAGTTTAGATCAAAGTCTCTTGCCAAGATGCTTGAGCCATGTAAGTCTCCTGCTATGTGTTAGAGCAATGAAAGTCTTAATCAAGTGGATCAATTGAGAAAATCCAAGTCTCTAACCAAGATACTTGAGCCATGTAAGTCTCCTACTATGTGCTAGAGCATTGAAAGTCTTAATCAGGTGGATTGATTGAGCAGAAGTCTTGGGTTTGTGGAACTTGAGCAGGAAGTATCAAATCGAGGGTCTGAGCAGAAGTCTTGAGCTTGAAGGGTTTAAGCAGAAGTCTTGGGCTGGAGTGGCTTGAGCAGGAAGTCTTAGTTCGTGGAACATGAGCAGATGTCTTGGGCCAGACGGCTTAAGCAGGAAGACTCGGATCATGGAACCTAAGCAAAAGTCTTGGGGCAGAGTGGCTTGAGCAGGAAGTCTCGGTTCATGGAACCTGAGCATAAGTCTTGTGCTAGAGTGGCTTGAGCAAGAATTCTTGGGTTTGTAGGACTTGATCAAGGAAGTCTTGACCCTTAGGGGTTTAAGTAAGAAGTCTTGGACTTAGGGTCTAAGTATTGTTAAAAGTCTTATGCAGCATGCATAAGCGATTGTAATCATGATTTGGTTATCATGAAAATCTCTTGTGAAGCAATGAGACTGAACTATTCTCAGTTGGGAGGAACATTATGCTATTATTTATTTACTTCCTCTAGCTTCCTGCTACTAAGTATAATCAGAATCTAAACACTAGTTTAGATTTTGAACTCTTATCAGACGCAAATTAAGAAAATGGAAAACACAATTCAACCCCCCTTCTTGTGTACTTTTTCTCACCTTCAATTTGTATCAGAACATGGTCTGTACATAACACTTAACAATGCTGCAGATAATGATCCAATGAGAAAGGCATGTATGTTAAACACTTTCCTTCAAAAAGGAATCAAGTGTCATATGAAAAATATTACATTGTTTTTCCTATAATATTCAAAGGGTTATTCTGCTGAATTTAAATAATAGAAAATTTTAATATATTTTTAATTCATTGAACTTGATAAAGGGTTTATGAAGGTGTGTAGAATACCCTTAAAAAAGGTATTACTATAGAAGTTGATGGTGCAGTGATGATCAAAATTTGAAAGTCTCTCTCACCAGCTCAGAAGAAGTTTATTGAAAATATCTTCAGAGGTAGATGCATTCTGGTAGGTGCTATATCTCGATTCTGAGTATATCAACATCATTGATACGTCTAATGCTCAGACTATCTTTGAATCTTTGTAATCATATTTATGGGAATTAGTTATGAAGCTTGTCCAGTTACACTTCATCTAATCTCTTCAAGAAAATTTTGAAAAGATTGTTGTGAATTCAAACCTGAGGTCACAATTACTCAAGCAGTCATAACTACTTGAGCTTACCATGGCTTGTAGGTGTATCTTGCAATCTTCAAAGAAAAGAAATGGAATTAGATGATGAAAAACTATCTAATAGATTTCTTTTCTAAATCCTGTTGAAGGATACTTCATATGGAATGTTTGATGATGAGGAATTAACCATCCTAATCAGAAGATTTCTTTAACTTGTTGAATGGAACATGGCATCTATTGTTAGAAGAGTAACTTGAGAAGCCTCTAAGATATTTATATTTCAAATGATTTCCCAAATCCAAGAACAAGGAGAAATACTACCAAACCTAATGTCGTAGATCTTTGATGTATATTCATTTGAAGATGAAATTAGTGCAGGATTCAGGAAGAAAGAGTAATTTGGCTCTGCCAATCATTGCTGCTTCTGAAGAAGCATCTGAATCCTAAAATAAAAATCAATTATTGAAGAGAAAGAGATTATGCCAAATTTATTTTGCTTCAATATTTGATAATAAGGAGCATGTTCTTTAAGGTGACATTCTAAGTGACTCCATTGCTCCTTGGTTGAGCGCAATCATGGAATTTGTATTAAAGAATAATTCTATGAGAAACCTTCAATTCTTCTTCGTGTTCTGCTAGCAATTACTCGACATTGCTTTAATTTTTTTATGCCATTCTCTCATAGCTAACATCATCTGGTTCTTTGCTTATCAAAGATTTCAAAGTCAAAAGATTTAATCCAAGACAGTAAAATCAATGATTCTGCTAAGAATAAGAACTTGTTTATATCATGACTCATTCTAGACTGATACTCTGGAATGAATCATGGTACTGCTATCAGAATGTGGCATAAGGCAAAAGAAAGTCTGTCTGGACCAACACGTATGGATTCATAGAAATATGAGTATCATTAATTAAAATGTAGTTGCTGCAAATATCAAAGAAAGGAGTAAAGACATATTCCATGTTGCTTATCAAAATTTGTTTGTAACATTTGATGGAAGAAGAACCTACAACCCATACTCAAGTGCTAGAGGTATTGAGTTTGGTAAAAGTAGTGGAGTCAATGGTTTAACAACCATTGAATCAGAGTCCACTCAGAGTAGTATTCAGATTCTATGGTCAAATTTGAATACTCATACGAGTTTGACCGAGAAAATAACAAAACAAGGTATTTCTGTTCTTTTCTAACTCATTACTTGAATCAATGAGATATTTATGTATATGTAGATACAAAATCTATGTTAGATTTCTAGAGAAGATCTCTTTAATAAAAAAATCTTCATAAATTTTAAAGAAGAAACTATGTTGTATTTATCTATGCTGAATATTTCATTAGCTGAATTATGATCATATTTATGGAAGCAATTTCCTCACTTTTTATGATGAGATTGCAGTTTGTTAGCTGTCAAAGAAACCAATTTAATATTCTTCAATCACTTATGAC